TTTAAAGCACCTCGCGGGGAAATGAGCTCTTCAATTATTCGAGGTAAGATAACGCGGCACTCCTCGATAATAATATTCGCGCACTCACGATTCGACGCGGTCGAGTACATCTCCGATTTTTCCGAGTATTTTAATATTTAGAGAGAGCGCGTCCGCGCTACTCAGACGATCAATACAATCCTTTTGGGGGGAAAAGTTTCTCGAGCTTTTACGTTTTATTTTTGTTTCGTTCCAACGGAAGAGCGAAAAAATCGGCGAGAAATCAGAGATCTCCTCGCGAACGTGAACGCGCCGAGACCGTCGTTAGTGATGCATCTACGTAACCAGCGGCTCTATGCCGTACACGACACAACGGTGTCGCGGATTTTCGAAATGTCGTCGATTGCTCGTTGTCATCTGTGGGAATTCACTTTCAAGCACCGATGGTCGTCGGAGCGTCGCACCGTGCTTTACGCTCCTTCACTCAATTTGCGCCGTATTCGAGCGCGTCATTGAATACGGCTCCTCTTTCTGTCTCTCTCCCTCTATCATAGGTTTGTGACGTATATCGAGATACGACAAAGTAACACGCGAGTGAAAATGTCATCCAATGTATCGGGCGCCGAAAGGAGTACGTTAAAAAGGATGTGCCGCGCGCCGAAACCGTAAAACTTTTATTTTTACGAGCGCCAAGTGAGAAAGAGAGCGAGAGCGAGAGCGAGAGAGAGAAAGAGAGAGAGAGAGGGAGAGAGAGATCGTACGACAAGATGCGTTTTTACTACGGAAGTAAGGTTAAACCATCCGACCTCGTTTCCGGCGACTACTATTCGTCTCACCACCTGGAGCTACCCTCGTTTTCTCGCGCGGCGATTCTGGCGAGTAATCGAGAGAAAGAAACGGCGAAACAGACGACATCGCGGAAAAGTCCAAGCACGGAGATAAATTTCGCAATTGGAATATACGTTATCCAAAGGGGCTGACCGCGAATATGGGGAGGGGATGGGGTTGGAGCAATACAAGCTCGCGGTGTGAGATTCGAAGGTTAAGTATCTCGGGAGTGTAAACGTTATGTCGCGTAGTTGCGAACTTTGTGAAACGCGGGGAAGTTTCGTGAGAGGTAAATAACACATCTGCAAAATTTCAAAAACTTTATGCGTTTGGATTTCAAAGGTCATTTCCTACGTGATTTTGTCCATTGAATACGAATCCGACCTTAGAATTTCTCTATCATTTTCGAGATAATTACGTTTAAATAGCCAAAAAATGCTGATTTTTACTATATTTAACCGATTATTGCTAACAAAGTAATTTTTTTTCAACAAATTCGCTAACGGCATCTTAATGTACTATTCGTTCTCTTTAAAGCGACAGTAAAATTTCCTAGAAAATTTTCATTATGTGAACAATGATGTTTAGTTGGTGTATAGTATAACTTCTAAAGAATCCTACCTTTGTGCTTTCATTTTTTCTCACTGTGTACTATAAAGTACTATATTTTCTTTCATTTTATTGGTTTTAATTTTTCATAGTTTTCATAATAATAAATTTATCAATTCAAGTCATGCTAGAGAAATAGACTGTCGCATAATACCTATAATGTGCTTTGAGTTTCATAGACTTCAATATCTTCATCAAAAATAATCGTAAAATAAAAAATCTTATATGATTTTAAAAGGGAAAAATAGTGAGCATGCCGTTAACATGACGTTAGCGAATTTGTTGAAGAATTATTTTGTTAGCAATAATCGGTTCAATATAGTCAAAATCGGCATATTTTGGCTATTTAAACCTAATTATTTCGAAAACTTGATGTAATAGAGAACTTCTAAAGCCGGATTCGTATTCAGTGGACAAAATTATGTTCACAACTGTCCCTGCCGAGGCACGGAGAGGTCGAAGGAAAAGTTTGCACATATATTACACAGGTCTGCATAATTTTGCGTTTTGGATTTCGAAGGTCATTTCCTACGTAATTAAAAAATTTAAAATTGCGTAGGAAATGACCTTTGATGTTTTTCTCTCCGTGCTTCAGCAGGGGGAGTTGTGAATATTCCCTGACGATTTGTACATCATAGCGGCCCCGAACGAATGCAAATGGCGGAGAAGGCGAGAGTGTGCGGATAAATAAAATTTCAGACGATCGTTTTCCCGGTGCTGAATTTTTCTTACTTTCGTACAGAAAAAAGCAACTCCGCTGGCGCGATTGAACGTCTCGTGCAGACCTGTGAAGCAGACGAAAACTCGGCTGCAGGAGCAGGAAGATCCCTGTAGGAGATCCCCAATCAGTCACTTATCTTCTCCGTTATCCCAACCGAGCTTTAATATAGCTGAATGTGCAGACGATCGGTCGCGATAACAAAGAAACCACTTCTCATCACCGAATTCGTCATCCGGTTCCCATCCGGTTGCATGAACCGAGATGTTTTCCGCGTAAAGGCGAAAAGATTTCAAGTTCGCCCACGGGTCGACGTATCCAATATCTATTTTATCGCGTGAATCGACCCCTTTCACTCGTCGGTGCGCGAAAAAATTCGGAAAATTGCACGCTTTTCCCCGTTTTGCGAACAGCCCTTTTCCGAAACGCTTCGGAACGGTCTCGGGGAACGCGTACCTCCACTTCGTGAACGCACTCGTGCGAAGTATCCCGCATTTCGATGGGAAAAAAGACATTTCGCAGGAAGATATCGTGTCCAAAAATTGATTCGCACGTCGGGAAACTCGGAGGATGATGGAGATTCGGACGATGAAGGTTCTGCTGTATCAAACATTGTTCATTGGATACGGCGATGTGTTGCCTACTCGCCAGGCGAAATGTAATCGCGTTATCCCCGCAGACTTGACAAAATCTTTTTCTGTTGTTACCGCGAACGGTTCCGAAAGTTTTCCTGCGATTGCTGACGCAACGGTGTTCCTCTCGAGCGGTGATCTCTCTGACAATCACGTTTGTTCTCGCCACGAGTCGCGCGCGTGTCCGATAGAAGGGTTAATGAAGCCGCGATTAGTGAGACAAGCGACACCGACAAGCGGAACCGGCCTAAAAAGTGAGAACATTTCCTCTCGCGCGTGCGAGAGAGAGAGAGAGAGAGGAGAAGAAGACAATACCGCGAATGACGCTGCCGCTACACACTTCGTTACGTTACGGAAAGTAAAATCCCGCCCGACTCGGTTAACGATCCTCGTGAATAATGTATAAACAAAGAAGGCTCGTTCCCCAAATGGTCCGGGGCTCTTTAAATTAATCGCTCGCTCTCGCTCTCAATCTCTCTCTCTCTCTCTCTCTCTCTTACTACTGGAATATTTCACGTCTGGATTTATATTCAGGCGACATTGCCGATCCTCCGCGTGCAATCACTGCGATTTGGCATATAATTTGGCAAATAATAAGAGAGATGTTCTTTCTTTCTTTCTACCTCCATACCGCTGAAAACAGATGACAGTGCGAGCCGATAAACGAACGGCTGGATAAAATACGCGTCGGTTGAGTAACGTGTTTTCGCACGTGAGAATATTTACGCTTCGCAAAATCCGTTACGACCAGAGCGATGTATCAGTATTTGCGTTAGTTATTTCAAACGCGCACTCTCTTACATTTCGCGAACAGTATCGATTACTCTATTGCCATCTGCTTGAGGAGAAAAAGTTCGCCTGATTTATAGAATAAACTAATAAATTGATAGATAAAAATGGCGTACGGAGAAAACGAAATACGCATGAAAAGCTAATGAAAGGAAGAAAAGAGAAGAAATTGATCGTGTATCAAGAATTCCCGAGCAGAAAAAGGAGATATATAGCAGGAACAAACAAAAAGGAAGAAGAGCGAATTGCACAAAGTAGTTAAGATCGAATCGACTGAAATATCGCGAGAGCGAGTGCAGTGAAAGGAAGTGTAGCGAGTTACGCGCGCCAAATGAGAAGAAAAATAAATAAACGTCAAGCAGCGAGCGAATAAGCTAAGGTATCAGCCGCGCTATCTTCGCCTTTTGATCTACAGGGACATTTATACCGGTATGTTTCCCAGATAGTTTTCTTGAAAAAATCGTTGACGTTCTTCCGTCTTAAACGCGCGCTGCTTGTAGATTCGCACAAATCGACTTCGAGCCGTCGATCGCGACCGAGTTGTTAGTTTTAACGGAATTGCATCTTGGATTTTCGGGCAGTGCGTCGCCGGGTCTTGGGTCTTCTCGGTCAGACGCTTCAAAGTGAAAAAGGAACAAAAGCAGAAGAGAAAAAGAAAATGAGAGATCGACTGTTGACGCTTTACCGAGAAAGGTGAACGACACCGCCTGTATTTTATACAATCGCCGGTTCGACGTTGTGGCCGGCGCCGCAGATTTGTGGGTCAACCGATGGACGACGAGAAGGGAGGAGGAAAGACGTCTGTGTGCCTGTTAGACGGCTATGTACGAAAAATTTAAATCCGATATCACACGGCGCAGATACCGAGGGAAGGGTGTGGTTTTTCGGTGTCGTTCACCTTTGCCGATCGACGTTCTTTTTTACAAAAACGAAGAATCGCGTTGTTGTGGAAAAACGCAAGGAGAAATAACACCGCGAAACAGACTGGCATTCGCGAATATGTTTGAAACATCCGAACATGCACATTTCATATGATAGCTTCAACATCGGAAACATTCGAATGTAGACACATTTCAACGGTCCTTCTCCCCCGCCATTGACCAACAACGAGAAGGACGATCGCGCGCGACGGACAGAATGCGAGTAGAAATTGCAGAAACGCTGAGATTCTTGAGCCATCGCTGTTTCCGCCTCCTCTTTTTCTCACAACAACGTATAATACCTTACAGTTACGTGGAAGAATGTTTATCGTTACGAACAGATATCTCTCATCTCGCACGTGAATCCATTGCTGATCGCACCGCGCAGTCGACCCCGCGTTCCCTCCTTGCCGAATGGGAGGGCATAGCTCTCTTTTTCGAACCTTTCAGCTCCGCCATGTTGACTTTTAGTTCGCTCCGACGCGACTTCGTTCAGATGGCAGTGTTGCGAGCGCGAGAGAACGTCCTCGCGAGAGGGGAGTTTCCGGCTAACGGGACCGTAGTCACGCATTATCATCCTTATGGCGAAGATAGAATCGCGTCAAGTCGCTAAAGAGGAAGAGGCCACTGCAAGTGGCCGAGCCGGCATCCTTGAAACGCACTTTGAGCGCGCAGGATGATCTTTCTCTCTCTTTCCCTCTCGAGTCCAGTGAGTGTCATGTCGGCATTTGTCGGCTATATCTTGTCGAAAAGAATTGTGTACGAAACTGTGAAATTGTGGTGTGTATGTGTGTTTGAGCGTGTGCGCGCACGTGTGTTAACACATTGGTCGGTATCTTAAAAATTAAACGTACATCGGGCAGAATAACAATAGCAGCGAATCAATGTGTCATCTGATTATCGCCCGGAACTTTAAGCGTAAGATCTCGTTAACTTGATCAATTTTCTGCATTTTTTGAGCGAGCGTAATGGAAGGAAGTGTAACGAGTTACGCGCGCCAAATGATTCTCAAGCAGTTACCGGATATCGCTGACACCGATATCTGATCGTGCACTTTCTCTTGCGGCCTCTTCTCTTTCTCTCTCTCTCTCTCTCTCCGTTGATCTTTAACACCCCGATATAAATTGATTTCGATTTTGCACAAGAGTGATTTCGGCGTAACACGGTTAAGGTAATCTCTCGAGTCGCAATCGCATCGACAAGTTCGTCGCGAACCTCGAAGCGGACGATGGATTTGCAAGAAAGTTAACGAGACCATCCTGACGCAACATTAAATACAAACACGATAAAAGATAATTTGTATGCATTTTTATATGTACGTCTCGCACAACTAACACTATGTACGTTATATTATGACGCAGATCTGTTTGACAACATACAGGTTAATATTAATCCCACGGGGAACACAATCGATAAGCACGAGCAAGCAGGGGGCCAAAACGCAGCAAAAGGTCGACAAGAGAGCCGGTAAATACACCAACGTCTTTAATTAATATGCTAATAATGAATAATATAATATGCACTGTGTTGGCATCTTCTTCTACATTGTATAGCGACCAGATGGATATGAAATAAATAGCACTGCCATCCGTTCCACGAGAAAGTATTTTCTGGTTTATCAGCATATTGCTCACCTGCCTGACTGGCTAATTAATTTACAATTGAATCGACAAATGCACGTTGCATCACGTTTATGGATCGATCATTCGGATTTATACTTGTCCGATAAACGCAACGATTAAGCGACCGGCTCTTGAAAAAAGCGAACCTGTCCTGATAAATTTTTCAAGTGACGACAGATGAGTGTGAATGAGATGGCAATATCGATGTTGTGTCGTAATGTCACAAGAAAGTATCTCCCAGCTTGCCAGGGCACAATTTCTTTTGCATTTGTTCTGCGAATATCGTGCATATCTTGTTTTGTTTTTAACACGACTTCTATAATAGTTGCAGCGAGATGAAGACCATGGTGAATAATGCGCACATATGTGTGAGCCTCGTATGCGTCGCAGCTTTCATCCTCGTGAATGTAGCGTGGCTGTTACACATATATTTTCCTCCTCATTGCATCAAACGACCGACATCGTTTTCCTCTTCCGAACACGAAGACTCGCCGTCTGATGCAGATCCTCCCTCTGGAGAACTTTCCTCGTCGAGTATGCAACAGGTTTTAATGGGTAATGGACATTGCGTCCGAAGATCATCCTCCTGTCGCGATCGCATCGCGTCTGAATCCGTTACGTCATGTTTACTTCTTTACATATGCGCGGCGGCGTTCCTGGCTTCGCATATCGTAAAACAACTCGCACGCGGCGTCGAAGAGCTTCGATGGCTTCTCCTCCAAGTGTCACTGTCAACGCGCGAGAGACGTCGTGTGTGCAGTATATGCGTGTGCCGTAAATTGCGATACAGGCAGACCAGTAACGAAGGTAAAGAAAACGACTGGAAAATATGAAATACATTCCGTTCACGTGTCATTCTTGAGGAGAACGTGATTGTGAATGCGAATGTGGTGCGCGCGGGCCCCTTTTTGTTCGCCTTTGTGCGCCTACCGACGAAAATGCGATTCTACGCGACTGTTGAGCTCACGCGCTATCGCCGATAACCAAGTTTCTCGCCCACGCATGTATCGCTGCATTCACGATCGCTGTGATACCTCACCGCCTCGAAAGATCACTAAGAATCCACAACAGGTTCGTCTCTTTTCGCTGCAATGCGCCGTCAGATGGTTAAAGGTTGCGACTTAGAGGTTCTCCTCTAAGTCCCGGTCTACAATGGTGATTTAAGCTTTAAGCCGTAAGAAATTAACCAATCGATTATTTTCCTCATATTCGACCGTGATTGCTTAGTTTCTTATAGCTTAAATCTTAAATCACCTATTGTAGACCGGGACCAAGCAAGTTCTGCAATGCATCCCAATAGGAGACCTTGCTCCAACAATTCTCGAGCGATGTGTTTTCCTATGGGACACGGAGTACGTTGCAAAAGTTACCGGGAAGAAGTGTCTCTAATCGTCTGAAGGCACGAGCCAATCGAGGACAATTTGTCACGTGCGAGAGTACACAATTGTTGTGAGAGTATTCTTTGGTGTCAGGCTCCGAATCGCAAAATTTACGTGCGTTGAGAGTCCCGTGCTCACACTCGTTCGAGAAACTAGGACTACCGGTACAGTGAACCGTTGTTGCACTGCGTATCGCTGCACTTCGAAATAGCACAGCTACGTTTGACGTCATTTCTTCTGCTAAAAAGGACGCATACTTGCACTGGGCGACGCCACAGTTTAACTGAAAATCACAAGCTTAACGCGACATCTATTAGCGGCGGTACGATGTCGACACATTTGATATCACAATTAGCTCGCGTCCGGATATCATCCGGGTATTCACAAATTCAGAAGCCGTTTGTGACGAGTTTTTTTTAACATCCAACAGATGCGCGCGAATGTCAATATGCGGCTGCGGCGTGAGACGCCATTTTTCCTGAAACCTACCTACGCAATCGCGATCTTCGGTCTATAAAATATTTATTTCACGTCTCTTTTGCTCATGTACTTCCACGAGAAGCTGTTCTCGCCGATCGTATCGTGCGATTCGTCATGGAGCACATGGAAACGAGACTGCTGCCCAATCACGCCGCTAAAATTCGCGATGTGTGGACGATTATGGTAAAAACAATCTCTGTCGATCCTTCGTGAGGAATTTCTCCTGTAAGATCCACGGTAAGTATGAGCGATATGTATGATATAAAACCATCAGATGATCGCAGAAACGACAACGTTACCATGGAATCGCTAGGCAGGCGCGCGACAGCTTTTTGCTCGAGACGATTCATTTCGCATGATTACTGTAATCAGTCGTTTTTACCGTGACCGACTTGACTTCGACACTTGCACGCTCCTGGATATTCGTTTCGCTGTTCGGACGGTCCACTGACGCGTGCAATTTGCAGATTCCAATGGAATAGAGAGGAGTCGGCGGGTTCAGTTCGTTCAGAGGCATGAGTGGATAGCCCTATCGGCCAGAGTGCTGACGAAACAGAAGTTGCCGGCATCCTACGTGATCGTCTGCCAAACCTCCACGCATGATTGTTCCTCGTTCACCGAGTGCTCCTTCAAAGTGAGATTTCTTCAGACGTTCTGCATGTGGAACCAAGGATCGGAGAACATCATCTATTTCCTCATCGGCAATGATGGTCACGTTTACGTCGGCAGGGGTTGATATAGAGTCGGTGGACGTACTTCCGGCTATGATGCCCGGAATGTTGGCGTTTCCTTCATCAGTACCTTCCACAAAACGTCGAAGGCGCAATTGACTGCGCCGCGAGCCCTGATGGAAAACGGCGTCGAGCTCGGCAAACTCTCGGCCGACTACAAACTATTAGCAAAGCGACAGATTGAAAATTATGGTAGCGAAACTCCCAACCTTGAGGACGCTTTATACGATGTTGTTAAGACGTTGCCGCATTGGTCGCCCGTTCCTTGACAACGCGAATAATTCAGTGCACGAGGGACCGCGAGAGCTGAAGGAGAAAGACGTCTCGAACGCGACAGTAAGATTCCGATGATGTCGAGATATCGATTTACACTTATCTAAACTGCAGCTCTCGTTCTCTCCTTCTTAGGACACCGTTCGAATTATGAGGTTATCTTCGCATTATCTCGCCGGTACTTGACTCGCGATACTACACGAAGCAGCCACGTTGCGCCTTGATAAAACCTTTCTCGCGAATACGTATGGGTCGATGGATGCTCGCATGGTGTACGAATAGAGGGATACGAACACATTAATAAGAACGTTTCTCACGTGCGATTATTGCGAGTGAGAACGCGACTGCCGCTTATGAGATTTCCGCGAGTACGCCGCGGCGCGTTTCTCAATAGCGATCCGTCAATCAATAGCGCGCGGCAACGTGTCGCGCGCTATTGCCAGAAACAAATAGCTCGTATGTTTATCGACGACGAGCGCGCGGCTCCATATGCATGCGACGCGGTTGCTTAAGTAAGGAATGACAGACTCACTGCCAATTATTCGATGGCTTCAAGGATACTACGTTTGAGCTGTGTGCCTCCGCTCGCGAGGAGGCACAATGGAAGTGCTCCGGCTGGAACGGATGATGGCTCTTTGTATCAGCGCTCTCCACCCTTCGTAATGCATTCCGACATGACTTTGCGGCAGAATCGAGAACCATTTGTAAATATTAAATCATTATTCGCGGAATAAAGGCGCAGTGAGTTGAGATTGCGAGTGATTTACTCCAGGTATTTGCACCGAAGCGATAAATGATTTCCAACAAGCGTGCGTAACGGCGTGACATTTTGGCAACCCTCAGGTACGAATTGTCCCACTTTCTCAAATTGCTTATGAAAGGGTTTTTGTCTTATAATATATAAGAGACAGAATGCTTTCGTTGGTACGATTCAGAGTCGATCGATGGTTCTAAGTAACGCGTCAATTTATAACTATGACTATTAGTTCTAGATATACGTGGACTATTAGTACAAATGTTCGCCTCCGTCTTGCCTCAGTAATAATCCGCGGACACAGACTCTCTCTCTCTCTCTCACTCATATACCACACACACACACACATACTCTCACTCTCTCTCTCTCTCTCTCTCTCTCTCTCTCTCTCTCTCTCTCTTCCCGATATGCTCAAAGAGATGTTTAAGCGAGACGCGAAGCATCTGTACTCTGTACGGTACTAACCTTTGAGCTGAGGTAGCTGCTGAAGCTCGACGTCCTGTGAGTTGCGATAACGAGAGGAGCCCTGCGACTTCTTGGACTTCTTCTTGAGGGATCGTTTGGCGAAGGGGTCTATCCGGTCCACGAAATTCCCGGGCAGTGACGACATTTTGGCATTAAAACGGAGGCACTGTGGGGAGTCGGCGACGCTTCGGCGGTGAAGCTACTACGAGCTTGGTGGTGCACGTGCGGCGTCTGTGATGCCCCGGCGCTCACACCCGATCCGTGTGTCGTCCTATCCCCGGAGCACAGAGCGTCTCACGACTAGAAAAGATCGCTTTCACCCCGAGGAGGCCGCATTCCGTCGTGACAGCGAGGGCGACAACGACAACAACGGGAACAAGAACGTCGCTAACGATGACGTCGAAATCACTGCACTCACAAAAGAGAGTATAACACTAACCGATACGCGATATTGCGCCACGGACACGCTGTCGCGCACGTGGTGACGATGGTGGTGGTGGTGGTGATGATGGTGGTGGTGGTAGTGGTGGTGGCGGTGGTGGTGATGGTGGTGGTGGTGGTAGTAGAGTGGCGGTGCTGTTTTACGGCGATCGCATTCACTCTCTTTCTTTCTCTCTTTCGGCTAAGCACGACTTACTGTTCACGCGATTCCAAATAGCCGACGAGCACGCAGGAAGAAGAAGTCGTAGCGGTTGATGGCGGCGGTGAAGCAAGTATAATATTAATAGTAGCAACAGTAGTAGTAATAGTAGTAGCAATAACCGTAGCAGTAGTAGTAGTAATAGAAAGAGGACGAGCAATCCGTCGACAGACCCGAGAAGCATAGCACACGACCCTTTAGTCGTCGTCGACGATGACGACGATCACTGCGTTCTTGCCCATGAACGGAGTTAACGGGGACGACGATCGCCCGAGCGGAATTCGATTTGACCCGAGTGCACGTTCGGGTCTCGTGCGGAGTGCCTCGCCGGCACACTCGCCACCGCCTCTGCCGCCTCTGCTGCCGACGCCGCCTCTGCCGCCGCCGCAGCTGCTGGTTCCGGCACGAAGGGGCGCGATGATCTCTCGCTAGGCGTTGTCACACGCGGACGCACGCCCTGTCTGTCTGTCTGTCCTTTCTTCCTTCCTTCCTTCCTTGCTTCCGTGAGCGCTGTCTCCCACCTACACGGTAGGCTTCGTAGTACGTGCTCCTACAGCCCGGCTTAACCGTAAAACGCGCTACCTGCCCAACAAGAGCCGGTCTTTTCCGGCTGTGCCCTCACGCTCACGACAAACGTGGAGGGTGGAGGATTCGATCGACGACGACGGCGGCGCCGGTCGGTGATGGGTAGCCGTTAGCTACTTGGATAGCTATTTCCTTGCTTGGTTGCTTCGTTGACCGCTTGATCGTTCCTCGTTCGATGAAGACGAAGTCCTCCCGCACTCTAAACGCAGCACGGTGTCGGTAACACACACGTTCACTCGCTCACGCAAGCAAACGCGCACGTACGAAGGCAGGCAGGCAGGCAGGCAGGCAGACAGGCAGGCAAGCAGACAGGCAGGCGAGTAAGCACAGGCACGCACGGTACGTAGTCTCGCGCGCGCCGAAGGAAGTCGTCCGCGCCGGCAGCGGCGACGGAGAGAAGCACCGTTACGAAATAGAACGACTCGCGTATAGCTGGGCGCACGTCCGTCCGTCGTATAGTAGTAAGTATGGCCGCGGGTAATGTGGCCGTCGTCGCACACTCACACACGCACACACACGTACGCACAAGCACACCCGCGCACGTATATACTACACTACACGCGTACGCACGCACGCATGCACGCACGCACGCACGCACGATGCTCGATCGCCGCTGCTTAATCCACACGGAGCGGAGCGCGTTAACGGGAGGGCACGAGAGAGAACACGGGTGTCTACCTCCGCCTGTCTGCGCGAGTTAACTCCTCTCTTTCTCACGCGGTGGCCGCCGAAGAACTCCACCTCGTCACGTTCGCACCTCCGGACGCCGACGCGACGACCACGTTAGGGTAGACGTACGTTTGCTGCCTCGTCGTAGCGCAGCACTCGGCCGCCATCAGCTGCTGCTCGCCGCGACGTGGGGGCCTCTCTCATTTTCTGGCGGAACGACCGCGAGCGACCGTCAGGCGCCGAGAATCGCCGAGACGTGGCCCGACATCGCCCTGCGCCGCTCGCTGCTCGCTGCTCGCTGCTGCTGCTGCTGCTGCGTATTCTTTGCCCGTCCGTTCGTCGTCCGACTGACCGCTGCCGCTGCTATCAGTACTGATGGTACTGGTGCTGCTGTACCGCGCCACGCAGCTCTGCCGCGAGAGAATTTCGCCGTCCGTCACACCGCGGCAACACCGACCGCGCCAGGCTGCCACCGATCGCGTCGATCCCGCGGACGAGGGAGCGAGCAAAAAAAAGAGAGCCACGAGAGTGTATCGCGCGCACGCACCGCCGCCCTCTTCACTTATTGAAAATCCGTCAAGAGGTTCCTTGTGTGCCTGAAAATAGTAATGTGCGCTCGGCAATCATCGGCCGGAGATGGCCGATCGCCGACGGACGCGTACGAGTGCGGCAGGTGGCGCGACGTAGTCGCGCCGTCGCGCATCAACTTTTCAAGCGCGCCCACCGGGCCACCGCGCGTTCGGCCAATGCCGTGCGCCATCGCCTGCCACCTCATTGGTCCCTGCCCGCGCTCAACGATCAATGCTCGCGCCTGCCAACGCGCTGAAACGGAAGACGGCGTCGCGCATGGCTTCGATCCGTTACCGACGAATCCGACTTAATCCGCATTCAAACGGACACGCGTCGCTATGCGACGGCATGCGCATGGAAAAGTTGACCAATCGTCAGCGCGGTGTCAAACGGCCTACACTGCCGCGCTCTGGATGGACCTTTAGCGCTTTACAGTTGCGCACCGACTAGGGCGTTCGATTTTCTTTCTCTTTCTTTCCGCGTGTGTGTTCGCCTCGCCTCGCCTCGCTCGCTCGCTCGCTCTTGCGAATTTTCGACCAATTGGTCACGAGATTTCTCAGCCACTCGCTGTTGGAATTTGTGAATTCTTGAGAGCCCTCGAGGACTCGGGAAAAGCGCGTGGTTCTGGAGAAATTTAAATGCTCGGATATTCTCGAGAGACTCGAAAATCGCGCAGCCTTGAGCATTAAAATCGGACGAGACGACAGAACTTATATTACGCGCTCTTCAACGTTGAATTAAAATACTGTTTATAGTGGACATATGGATGAATCCAAATATGAATTATGAAATTTTGCAGATGTGTTCTATAATAATAATTTCAATTCAGACATAAGGCCTACGTATCAAATCTGGTATCGTTCATACAAATATAAAAAAATAAGATACGTTGATATATTTCAGAATTTACTGATTTTTTAATGAATTTCCGAGTTTAAACAAGATGATTCAAGATGATTCGATTTTGTCACTCATTCGAAGTAATTCATGACGCGTTACAAAAACATCCTGCACATTTTTGTATACAATTCTATGCGCAAGCAATGACACACATATCTCTTCGGAGGCACCGTTATGAAAAGTAATATATCGATATTATTAATTTATGCAAAATGTCAAGTGTCGGATGAGTTTTTGCCTCCGGTATAATTAACAACTCTTTAATTAATACGATAATAATCACGAAACAATAATTACATCATCGCAACATGAAATCAGAGCTGCGAAGGTCTCGTCTAAAAACGGATACATAATTATTTATAAATAATTTATCTCCTTACGTCACTCCCGTCGATTCTCATTGGTGATTTCATAGATATCAGCCGGACGTTATCGACGGAATATTGTCGTTTGCGACGAGTTTTCATCAAGCGACACTATCCGTTATGCGCACCTCGACAGTTTACATGGATGAAAAAATGTTTGACACCTGCGACGTGTGTGACAAGTTGACAATGTTTTTAAATTCCCGTCACTCAAAATCCGTAAGAGACGAGCCCGATCGTTCCGAAAGATTTTTGTAAATCCGCTGTATATTTTTACGTGATTCGAATGGAAATCGAAAAGAAATGACCGGTAACGCGACGTATCGTTCGCTTCGAGGCACCTAACCAAGAAATCGACCATCCGCGCGAGAACATGAACACCCTCGCACGATGTCCCGGAATATATTGCGGCCGGGAATTATTGCCGGACGGAAATTGGAGCGAATGCGGCGCCTGTCCGCGCGGTTTTCGCGTTAACGCCTCGTCGGCGTGCGTACCTTGCGACGATGCGCCTATATTCTATGACTGGCTCTATCTGGGTTTCATGGCCTTGCTAGTCCTGGTCTTACACTGGTTCTGCATCGACAAGGTCTCCAAACGTCGCAACATACCCAAAGAGGTGATCGCGCTGCACTTGTCGGCGTTGCTCGAAATATTATTGGCGTCCCTCATAGCATTACAACTGACAGATCCCATTGGCACATTCACCATCAAGTCGTGTAGCGCAAAGAGACTATCTGACTGGTACACATTGCTGCACAATCCCAGCCCTAATTATGAAGCAACTCTACATTGTACACAAGAGGCGGTTTATCCTTTGTTAGTTTATACTCTGTCGAATATTGATATTTAGTAGGAACACAGTTTATACACTTTTATATCTTTTTCATTTCAGATACACTGTAGTTTTTATTTTTTACGCCCTAGGGATAATCCTGATGTTACTGATAAGGCCGTTAATAGCTAAGAAATTTTTACCAAAGCAGGGCAAGCTCTCTATCTATGCAGCTTTATACTTCTACCCAATCTTGGCACTTCTTCATGCTGTAGGCGGAGGTCTGATATGTATGTGGCACCTATAATATAGTTGTAAAATTGATAAAGGATGATACACCAACTGTGTGTTAGTTACATGTTTCATTTCTCTTTCTAGATTATTCATTCCCGTATATCACTATCATTCTGTCGGTCCTGTCAAATGCGGCACATTTTGCATTTAAATTGAACCAGAGAATGAAGTCATTGTTACTGAGCTCTGTCTCAGATATAAAGAACGTGATAGTGATTTTGGGTCATTGGCTATTACACGCATATGGTGTGATGGCAATTGCTACTCTTCGTGGAATCAACATTCATCCTGCAATGTTGGCTTTAGTACCATTACCCGCTTTATTTTATATCATAACTGCGAGATTCACCGACCCCCATAAGCTCAACATTGAATGAAGTGAGTCTTGTATTTCTTCAGTGCAACTGATTTCTATCCTACGTGTACCTTAAAAAAAGGCTAATATGTCCATCTTTTCAATTGTTTGATTGTAAAAGTCTTAAAAATTTGTAAGAATTTCAAAAGTTTAAAATTCTATATTAAATCAAATATATACTTTAATTATTAAATTATCAATGCGATTGATATAGAGTGTTACTTTGAAATGTCTATTAAAAGACCTTTATTGTTGAAAAATTAAGAAATAGGCATTGATTCTTTCTTCCAAAATGCATATGGCATTTTGATAGTCTATAAATTTAGTACATTGTAAAATTTTATGTGTAATATATTAAGATTTTTTAATAAAAATGTTGAAAATTTAGAAATATTTGTTAATATTAATCTTCTTATACTCGAGATTCTGAAAAAATTAAGTTACACATATTTGCTTATAGTATATATATTTCATTACATCATTTGTACATAACTTATACATCAAAATGCATTGTTCTTTTTCTGTATTCGTATATACTCTGACGTGTATCAATTTCATAACTTTTGATTCATCAAGAATGTGAAATTAATTAAAATTATCATATGGGAAACAACCGAATTAGATAGCCACATTATCAAAATTTTGTTCGGCACTCAATAAATCTATTATTTAATATGTCCGTTGTTACTTGCGGTAATAAATTGGAGGTTGTTTATAGTTCACGCTATATTTTTAGCAATTAATATTTAATATAATGCATGTTTGCGCGTCATTTGTGATATTGCGATGTAGATACGAAATCTCATCACGTAAATATTCACGTAAATAATCATTGCGTCAATGGACATTACAAGAATTTACATACAAACATGTTTTTCTATTTTTAACAAGATGACGGCCGGCTTGTATATGGATAATAATGGAGCATGCATTATAGAGAACAATGCATTCTTGGTGTTAATTCATACATTTACACACATTTATTTGCTTTGCATGCAGAACGAAAACGTATCATATATATCTCGTTTTCGAATTTGAAGTTTATCGTATTCTTCTGTTACTCCTTTTGCACAAATGTTAAAATCAACGTGCTCTTCGATGAAATGGGCACTTTGTTTGAATATAACTTTTTCCTGTGTGTAAAATCAAAGGTTCAACATTAATAAAATATGGTGGAATATTATAGATTATATACACAATATAAATCATTAAATATATAAAATATAAACTTAAAAGAGATAAAGTATATATTTTTACAGATCGTTACAAAAAAAAAGAGAAAGATATGCTTACATTATTTCCTTCGTATCTTGAACGTAGTTAGGACTATACGTAACCACGGTGACTTCTTCCGACATATGTGGTATACTGGATAAGTCTATGACAATCGGTTTCTCTCCTGTATGATACGCTACCAAATATCCAGGATTACCGCTTTTTAATCTGCAAATTCATCAGAAAGATACATTCGTGAACTTTTCGTTTTATCCAAGAGCAGGGTTATTCTCTTCAGTTGTAGATTTAAGATTTGGCAAATCATGTATGTTAAAAGTTTTTTATCGGTTAGTTTATTATATTGTTTCATTACATGCGATAAATTCTTTATAGCAAAGCGTAAGTAAGTTAGTACATAAACTCACCCAATCCTGTACCAGGCATAGGAGGAAACGTGGAACATGAGCAAATTAATATTCGGTTAGTTTATTGCACCAATAATTCCTTATGTTGAGCGAGAGATATCTCACTTATCTTTCAGATCTACATAGCGATTTATTCGGTTGATAAGAAACTGAGCTTAGTAACGAGATAAAAGTTAAAGGACAATTGCCACTAAATACGACGCTCGAGAATGCGAGCCGGGACTTTTGAAAGCATCTCGATGTGAACTTAATTGTACGCTCTGAATGAATTCAATTATCCGATCAAAACCCGCCCCTATCCATTGTACTCACTCACCATTATTCTTTGAAAGATTAGTCTTGTAGGTCAATGCGATTTAATGGTTAATAGTGTATATTATGTTAATTGCGTTAAATCACCACACCTCTTTGAAAGTAATTCGAGCATGTCGAATTCTTCACTCATGTTAAATTTCACGTTAATATACCTTCTCGGAAATGACACGACTGTTATGCGTATTGATAGATATATTGTCGCAACGATTACCTTGTGTACACGAAGACGGTTTCATTGATAACTCTGGTCATCGTGTCTCCGTAGAGGAACGTCGGGCTACTTCGAACGTTTGAGAGAATGTTAAATGCATCCTTCGTGGACCTGACATCGTTTAATTGGAGAATAGGCGTGCCTGGTAGCAGCATTGTCATCAACGTTATACTGTCCGCGACATCATTAGGCATACGTTCTCGAATCGTGCGCACCTTGCCATTTATCTGTAATTGTATGCAACATACAGGATTACATTTGCGACAAATCACTTTGTGGAATATTCTATATTGTATATCTTAAGTATTATTTTATATCAAACCTTCTCAAAATATCCTTTGCTATTTCACGTTAAAAATGTCGAAATCTATAAAGTTACACGGTAAAGTCAACTTTATTTAGGCGACACTTACGTTCCATGCAGGCCATGGTGTGATCTCGATCCAGTGTGAGATACTTTTGTGCAGCATCGTGGCATTTATGTTCGCGCTGGCAGCGGTGAGGAAGTGTGAACTCTGCGGCAGATCGATCAGCGCGTCCTTTTGATTGTACACTTGCAATATATCGGCGCCGATATCTTCTTGCAGTGTGAATAATCTGCAACACGAAGATCAGCCAGCGACGTTATTATACTGATGATATTACGTAGCAATAGCGTGAATAGAAAGCCTTTAACGTACCCTTTTCCATCGGTTGCGTTGCGGACGATTTCTCGCCATTTCATCAGGACCTCTGAATTTTCCGGACGATTGCACGTGTGTATGTGTATCAATGATTGATAATCGTTCGATTCTACAGGAAGAAAGCTCCTGGACTCATTGCGGAGACCCGGGTCTTCTGTTAAGTACTGAGTGTTCGCTAGACGGAAACCGCTAATCCCTAATTTCAACCAATGAGTCAGAATATCCTGAAATAATATGCAGAACGTGAGACACTTGTTGAAGCGAGATTACAAATCGACTGGTTACATATAAAGTTATAGAGCTATATAAGATATTTACTCCGAATTGTTTCACTACTGCCGGGTTGTTGTAATTCAAGTCGGGTTGCGTCTTATTGAATTGATGAAGGTAATACTGGCCTCTTTGTTCGTTCCACTCCCATGCAGATTCGCCGTATACACTTAACTGTAAAGATAAATACGTTCATCAATCTTTCTTCTAACATCGATAAGATTATATATGTCGCTGCGCGAATACAGCTTACCCAATTATTAGGAGGACTTCGTCTTAATTTCCCACCGTCGGGACTAGTTATTCCATCGGCCCAGACATAATAGGACGTGAATGGATCTTCCTTCTCAACCGACCGTTTAAACCACGGATGTTGCATGGAAGAATGGTTGGGATCTAACTCGAGGAAGATTTGTTGACCCCCTTCCTTTGCCATCTTAACAAGATCTTCCAAGTCGCTGATGCTTCCATATTCTGATTTGATGGCTCTGAAATCTTCGATTCCTCCTACAATAAAATGAGATTTTAACATCAATCACATACTTTGTTTTAAGAAAATACGTGAAATCAAACACACCTATTTTATATATATATTTTTTTTCAATTTATACATACCATCTGAACTTTCTTTTACCAATGATGCCATAGATATCGCATTAACGTGTACATCTTTCAGCTCATGTAATGCAGGTTTTAATCCCATCAAATTGTTGCTAGGACTATCTGAAGTTTCCAACTGGACAATCGGACTTTCTTCCCACAGTTTTCTCGGCTCAGGTGCCGAACATTTCGGCGCCATCACAATGATAGCTACAGCACCAGCTAACATCGCAGCCCATAATAACCAGAAACCAATGAACAAGGCCCACCTCAATCTCACCCAGAATGGATCATTAATAAACTTCATCAGTTCTTCTTTGCCCATTGCAGATGTTTGGTTTATTGTTCCGATATCAATCTTAGCATCGCCATTCTCAGAAATAAATTTTACCTGTTGAAAAGTTGTAACACAATTTAGATAAAAGGAAAGTCTGAATAGCATGTATTATATAATTAAAGAATATATGATAAGCATTCATAAGGATAATAATTCTCATATTTTTTATATATGTTCTGCTTCCTAATTTGAAAATTTACAAATTGCAAATAATAAAAGTTCTTTCAAAATTTGTATATATTAAAAATTTCTCATCTCTTTTACCTCTTATTGTTAATTTGTTGTACAAATAATTACTCATATTTTATGCACATATGTATCATTCTTTTTTCAGTAACGTTCAAAATATATAATTACAATAAATTAAATGTATGTATATATGTAATAAATATACACATAAAAATAATTAATGGAATGTAAATTTTGAAAATAAATATTTTTATATATTACAGATCTACTGGCTTTACTTTAAAATATACTAATAGGGAGTTTTTGCAATACAGTCTCTCAGATATGGTAAATCCTGACCGTCATTCGCTCAGAAATAACATCGCCATGTATGCAACCAAGAGCATTTACGATCAACGTTTACCGTATCTAAGAGAGAGTATTGCAAAAACTCTCCAGTATCTGTGTATGTATCTTAGTATGATGCAATACTAATGATGCTTTGCTCATTTGTAGAGCTTAATTGACCCTGTTGCTTTTATATAATACAATTACTTTATTCTTCGCAAGACAACGCACCCCAATAGCTTCAACAACTAAACAAATTTTTATCAAATGTATCGAGAAAGTGCTCGAATTCCTAAAAGCATACGAAATCGATATCATGTCGGACCGCTCGGTGCTAAAACGGGCTTAACATATTGGAGAATTTTCGCAATACCGTCTCTCAGATACGGTAAACATAAATCGTGAATGCTATTGGTCGCATTGCGACGTTATTTCTGAGCGAATAACGTTCACGATTTACGTTTACCGTATCTGAGAGACGATATTGCAAAAACTGCCTATTGTGTCAAAAGCTGCCACATTATTCCCGAATGCGATCGATGCTCTCGTCTCAATAACGAGATAGGCGTGACCGTTATGAAACATGAGCAGAGTTTCTTATTCGCTATTTTAGAAAGTCATTAGAGAGTCATATTTCACTCGTGAATAAAAACGGCAAATTAGATATTTTATAAAAGATTTCACTGTCGTTCTTTGTTGAGAAATATGAATGACTCACATATAGTACATATTTAATCGTGCTGTGAGCACTTTTCTGTCCATTGATAAAAATCCGAGAAAAATCGATAAAAGTCATAAATCAAATTGTTGCTCGAGAAAAAATAGTTTGGGTAGTCGTATTTGCAATATCGTGCTCCTACGAGACGAGGTAGATATCATTATTTCGACCTCGATTCGAAATCGGAGCAACGATAAGTGCGACTGATAGACGATAGAAAGCCAAGTAAAGAATTTTACCTCCGTGGATTCTTTAACGATTTTTTGAGAAATATCATCCTTGAGCATTCGTTCCTGTGCACCCTCGTCATATTCGTCGCCGTTTTGCTTAACCATGATGCCGCTGCTTGTCTCTTGAGACGATCGTTGCTGTTTCACAGATTCAGCCTCGTACGGCTGATGTATCGACAAGACTAACGGCGTCTCCGTAGTATCGTTCGCTTCGCTCCCGGCTGTTGCTTCTTCCCCACTCTGCATCGTACGTTGTAATTCACTAAACTTTAGGAAAATTTTACGCAATACTTCTGACGAGGGAATCTCTCTAGCGGCTAATTCAAATTTTGAAGACGATTCACGAGATCGACAAAAATTACGACGAACGACGTACACCCCTCGCAACGACACCTGATATTCGTGAAATCAAAATGGCACGATTCGACATCGATTGTTCTCTCCGCTCTCTTTAGCCCCGACCTTTCGATTTTTGAACAGTTGTACTTATTTCAACTTTTGACCCAAAAGATGCGTTCGGATGGGCGTTTTATTAGAGGTAATAGGGAGTTTTTGCAATACTGTCTCTCAAATACGGTAAACATAAATCATGGGCGTTATTCGCTTCAAAATAACGTCGCCATGTACGCGATCAATAAGGAGTTTTTGTAATATCGTCTCTCAGATACAGTAAACGTAAATCGTGAATGCTATTGGTCGCGTACATTGCAACGTTATTTCTAAGGAAATAACATTCACGACGTTACGTTTACCGTATCTGAGAGACGGTATTGCAAAAATTCCCTATCCACAATCAACATTTATTATATCTGAGAGACGCTATTGCAAAAACTCCCTACTATCATAAACGCTACTAAAACGCTGTTTGTACAATAAAACTTGTAGAAACTACGAAAACTTATAGAAACTTATAGAAACGTGTAGACTTGTGTTATATGTTTTTTAGAAAGTTTTAAATAAATAAATTTATTTATATATCATCGAAAAAAGTTGTACATAACTGTTGCGATCAAAGGAGTGATGTATTACTTAGATAGCAAGGTCAATACAATTAAATTAAATAGTTAAAATCAAAACAAAAAAAAAAGTAATTTTGACAATCGCAAAAATCAGATCTTTTCTCTGTGATACGTTCGATAAATTCTCTTTTTTGTCTTTTGCCATTTCTGTTAAATTAATGTCAGGTACGTTTTTATCTTTGCCGTGATCTAATTTGTACAAATATACATGACATTTTTTAACGGAATGGAGTGGATTTATATGATCATTAATACGATTTGTTCATTGATTGAGATAAATGAATTATCGTATATCAAAGAAGTTCAAATAAACATTTAAATAGAGCGCGTCTGCACACACGCCCCCGCACATATCTGTCAGGCCATATTTGAAGATGTTAAAATCATCTGCTGACATCTACACGGTGTGCTGATCCTATGCCGAGGAATGTGTGAGGTTCACGCTTATATACGAAATAAAAAATTTGTACGATGACTCAAATATCTAGGCTCGAAATTAATCGAGAATTAATAAAGCTGATCCTAAGAAAGACTGGAAACTCGAAAAGGTGTTTTTACCAGCTGTTGGACTTTTGCTAACCTTTACGGTCTATTATGGTTTCATTCATTATACTATCATTATTAATGACATTTCGACAAACGTACATGACTGTTAGAGATAAAATATGATGTTAAGATGTGTTTTAAATGTATTACATATATACGTACATACATATCATATATATATATATAATGCATATATATATATATATATCTTTTCTCTAATGAGGCACAAGAATTAAAAATTGCTTGTCAAAAAATTTCTGAAATATATAAATCTCTTTTAGATAATTTGCACATAAACATTGTGAATCAAGTCTCTTGTTTCATGTTCAATTTTTTTGTTTCAGTATATACTTGCTCTGGATGATATGATGAACGAACTACAAACTCTACCAAAGTAATATTCTTATCTGTTTACAACATAGTCATTGATAATTTAATTTTCTACGTTCATAAATATTAAAAAATAATTCAATGTTAACATTTTGATTCTTCTTTATAGTAAACCATCCAAAGATTCTATGATGGGTTATACCAAGCGAATAGATTTTTTAAAAGGAGTAATAAATGCAATGAAATTATCGAGTCCAGTAGAAAAAGTAGCAGCTGCACAATTACTGTCAAAGAATTCAACTTTGGCAAATGATTCTGTTAGTACAAATATTACAACACAAATACATCAAAAGACCATTGCAAAATACAATCGTGAATTACGTGGAGAATTATTTCATGCTAATAAAGGTAATTATCTTTTTAAGACTTAAATATATGATAAGAATTTTCATCTTTACATATTGTATTCAATGTTAAATATGTTATATGTTACAGGTATAAGTAAGGATGGTGTACGGCAAAGACTATCAAACTCTAATATACAAGATGAAGATTTAGATGCTATCTTGAAATATAATCGTAACATACAAGAAAAGATTGCGGAAAATATGCTTTCTATGACTAGCAGTATGAAGGAACATGCATTAGCAGCAAGTGCTATAATAAAGAAGGACATTAGTACATTGGAAAGATCAGATAAATTAACAGATGTTAATGCCATCAAATTGAAAAAGGAATCTTTGAAACTGGAGGAACATACTAATTCAAAATGGAGATGTTGGGTGTGGATTATGATAGCTTTTGTTTTGGTTATATTTTTTAGTGAGTAACTCATGTAGTAATTATTCTCTGTTCTTTTTTTAGAAAATATAATTAGAGTTTTTTTGTTTATTATTTGACATAAATGTTTAACTAGCATTATATTCATAATATATGTATCATATATACTTATAAATACATTGACAGTTAAATTATTATTTAAATTAATTTGCTCTTTTTTTTTTAGATATGGTGCTATTCATGAAAGTGGTAAAGAAAAGAATTTAGATATAACTAAGACCTTTTAAAAGCTTATGTGTCAACAAGTATGAAATATATCTCTATAGAGTGACTAACACAGCTGTGTGAGTCACTGGGTTGTTATTATGATGATAGGGGTTGTACACAATCATGAGTATACTTGTAAAAACACCTACACCACCTAAAACAGCTTGGAAACCTGGTAAATATTACAAAATAGTGATATATTAGTTAATTATTGTAACAGATAATTCTTTATATGTTTCATGGATAATTTGATTATTCATTATAAAATTCCTGAAGCATTCCTCAGTTTTTTACTAAGTGATGGTTAAGTAATGAAAAAAACTTCTATGTTTACATATAGTTCTGTATGTGTATCTCCCATGTATTATAGAATTATGTATTTATACACTAAATTAATTATATCTAAGATATTAAAACTCAATAAAAAATCTAACATGTATCATTTTGAGGTTATATGATGTGACATACCCGGATCCAACACTACAATCTATCTTAAGAAAATTTAAAAGAATATATGCTTCAGATCATAAAAAAGCAATACAATTTAAAAGAATTTGTAAAAAATGTGTTATACTTATTAAAGGATCATTATATCTATTTTAATCAAGTAAAATGTTACAATGTGTGAACTAGATTAGCAAAATAATTAAATGATCCTATGCATGTATGATATATTAATTCTTGCGATTGATCTACAATATATTTCTCTAGTATAATGTGACATTGATTATCAATATTAACACTGTATTATCTTTAAGGCAAAGTAAAAGTGGTCAGGGCATTATGCAAGTATACCGCACAGCATGTGAGTTATTTCTTAATAATAATCTTAATAGTAATCTATCAAAAATGAAATGTAATGTTTTTTACATTTATAATAACGATATGTTGGAATGATATTTTCTCTTTGCAGACGAACGAATTATCATTTGACGAAGGTGATCTTCTTTATGTGTATGATAAAGATACAGATCCCAATTGGTGGACAGCTAAGTGTGGAGACCAAAAAGGCCTTGTGCCAGTCACATATGGTACAAAGAATGTGAATATCAGTTTTTTTCAGCTATTGCTTAACATTTATGATGTATCTTATCTTGCTAGTCGAAGAGCAAACGCAAGAGATTGAGTTACCTCTACACGATGCCGCGAGACGTGGTAATATCTGCTTCCTAAGAGAATATCTAAAACAGGGTATATCGGGAACCGGTTTAGACGCAGCAGGAAATACACCGTTATATTGGGCAGCGCGCACTGGTCATGTGGAATGCGCGAAGGAGCTCCTTAATTTGCCAAATCCTGCAGTAAATGCTCAGGTAAGAACGATACAAATGAAGATGAGAATCTGAGATGCATGCTTCTATCACTTATTTATCATTAAATGTAACTGCAATAAGACAAACATTTAACAATAAAATATTCAACAAAATTTAAGATACGAGCATGGGCCTGTATGAGTAATGACCATTATGTGTTTATTACTACGTGTATCTCGTTACACATATCGTGTCGTTACTTCATTTTCTCTAATTTCATGTTTGTAATATTTTTCATTAATTGCAGAACAAAATGGGCGATACGCCGCTGCATGTGGCGGCGAGTCATGGGCATTTGGAGATAATAAATTTATTGCTGGAACACAACGTGGACGCCACGTTGCGAAACAAGGACGGTTTTACTGCAGAGGAATTAGCGTCCGACGCATCCATCAAAAATATGATACAATCACAGCAAGGTGGATACGACGGTAGACACGAGTACAACGATGATGATTACAATAATGACAGTGATTAAAAATTTTACGTACTCACCTAATGGGAGCAATTTAAACATTCCTACTATAAAAGTATTAAGCGATAACGCTAATTTCTAAAGATCTCTGGAGCAGTGTTCACATTAATGTTTAAGAACTATTCTTTTATATTGTATAATCATAAAGCGTTCTTCATGTTTATCACATTGCGAGGATAAAATAATTAAGATTCTTGATTTAACAAAAAAAAGTCAACAAATATATTGTTAATAATGTGCATTACATTATGGACAATATCGTATAACGTCGTTAATATTATTTTGCCGAACATCCCAAAATAAGATAGGTTCGTATAAAACATAATTATAACATTCGTACTGAAACTAGTTTAATTACACTTTGATTAATCAGTTAATAATGCTAATCATCTAATATGAAAAAATCAGTTTGAAACTATATTGTAAACTTGAAACGTACAAGACGATTTATGGAAAAAGACAATGTAAACATCTTTTCAAATGAATTATAATATATATAAATTATATTTCACTATACTTAGATTTTCTTTGCCAAATTCATTTATTTAAATCCTTAAAAGATACAATATATAAATCTTTGGGATATAGTACAATTTCCTTTTTCCAGTGTAACGTCTTGTTTATAATTTTATGCACAATTACTTTCAAATGTTTTTACTGAACCATCTGTTGAAATCGAGCCTCAATATTAATCGAGCCAAATGTTCTCCACTGGGTTGTGCACGCATTTTGTTCAGTGCCTTCATCAGCCAATTCATTACGCTATTCAGTGTCTCACATAATGTTTTGAGTTCTTCTTTGTCTGTTAAGAGCAAATTTCCAACATCCCACATGGACGCTTGCAAGATGAAATCGTCGCACAGTCGTAACAAAAGATGTATCAGTTTGTTCACCTGAACATTGATTATACATATGTATATGCAACATGTACAAAATGTACAAGTTATTTCTAACATGCCAAGCTAATCTTCATCTATCTTATTGATTCTTTAATACCAATGAGTCCTTTTCTCAACAAAAATGGCTTGTTGAATGTAAAAATTTTGGTTTTAAATTGAAGAGTGATTTTAATTTCACCAAATCTTATTAGAAACTTACTGGATTTTTCTTTCCCGTTCCACTGGTCAACAAAAAGGTCTGTGACATGACATTAGCCAGGAACACAGAATGCGCTTTCTGTATATCTTCGAAATCCTTCGTGCCTTGCATACTCGCTTCCATTACGGTATATTGACTTTCCACCACATCCACTTGTAGATAATATTGCAAATTGTCAACAATGAAAATCAAATTATTTCTCAATTGGATCACGCCGATATCTCTGCAATTGGGAATATTTTAGTGTGAGAATCACGGATAACAAGTTTCATTTGTCATAATTCTGATTAATGTTGCTTACATGTTTTTGTGATGCATGTGCTCGCTCCATAGGCCCCATAGATCTATCTGTGTCTTTTTAACTCTCAACAGAAAGCGAAACAGAGTGTTATAATCGTTCAATGCAGCTGGACTAAACAACAAATGCAATGGCCAAACGACTTTGTATTTCAGGATGATCATACCCCAGCCACGTTTCTCTGAAGAAACAATCCAAGATTTTAATGTCATTTCAAACATTTTAGAAATAAAATGTGATAATTAGACGCTACGAGCACATACCATTAGGATCCTGTCTTTCGTTATCAGAAAAATCGGTGGTATCTGTGCCAGTATCTTCGTTTTCGGAAGACAGCATAGGTACCGCGAAATTGAAGCTATCGATCACGCTCTCATCATTCAGATGCATTTTTCTCAATGCTATCTGGAACGCGAGATTAATATCTCTGGATGTGTGACTCGTGGGCGCCTTACTCAGGATGTGCGCCGTGAGCTTGATGAATTCTAGAAACAGATCACCACGACCCATTAGGAAGAATTCTTTCACCAGCCTAAGTTGTTGCATTAGTTGCGCTTCTGTGACAGCCTTGCGCCATAGATTTTCGGTGATTAACTGTTTCATATCGTTGATTGCACGATCGAACTCAATGACGTTAAAGACTGATTTCGCCTGGAGATCCTTTAGTAGCCTGAAGAACCAGGTTTCCTTATGGCCCCACACTAAATTCTTTGGCTGAGATGTCATGAAATCTAAATTATCAAATATTAGAATCCTACCTATGTAATTTTTATATCTTAATATATTAACGATAGTTTTCTTTAAAAAATTTGATTCTAATTGATGCTGATTCTACAAGGATATTAACTTTTTTCTGACTGAGATATTACCTCTTTTCTGACTGGGATCATTTCTAAACATAATGACAGTTTGACCAATAGTCAAAATCTTGCCTGCCATCGAGGGTCTGATGTAAGATGGAAGCATGTCGATCTGAACATTATAGTCCCACATATCAACATCCATTTTCCTACTGGCTGACAATCCACGTGTATCAACGTTGTTTTTACCATTCTCGTGCACTAAAGTTCTGTCATAATCTGACACTTTTTGTATGAAGAACTCTCTGTGAGCATCTTCCAACTGCCCATATAAGAGCCAGCTTTGTAAATGCTTGTAGAAAACAATGTGAACATGATGGATTATCCTAAAATTGAACGAATAAATGAAAACAATGCTGATACAATATTTAGGATGCAATTATAAATTTCTTACAGTTCCAAAGCAGAGTTGATTTTGGGTATGCCGGTATGCATACGCTGATGTAAGCATTGTAACAATTTACAACCATGTAATTTCTGTGTACGAATCTAAAATAAAAAATGCAAGTGAATGAAATCAAATATAATCAAATATATCAATAAACATTCAACCTGATTAGTGTAAAATTTGTTCCAAAGAACATATAATTACCTCACGAATGATAGAATGTAAAACAGAGAACAGACAAGTATGCTTTTCAACAGTACAGAGGATTAATGATAAAGGAGTATGACTATTGTTCAAAACTGTACGTTCTAACTCAATTATTTCTTTACGAAAAGGTTCTAGTGCCTGATCCATTCCATCACACAGAGCACGAATATATAAACCAGGAGCTATATTTTCTGTAAAACATAAAATATTAATTAATTATGTAACATAGCTAAAACATTTTAAATTTCTAAACTTTAGAAACTGTTAGAACTTACCTTTTGTATCTAGACCATATATTGTATATTCATGTATGAAGCCTCTTATGATATTGCATTCTTTTACTATATCTAATATCCTATTAAGGAGTGCTCGTTCTCCAGGATGCAAATATTTTTCAAGATCTATAGACTAGAAGAAAAATATTAATGAGTTATATATTTAACCTTATCTTAATTAATGTATACTTTACTAATGTATACTATCATTTCTGTACATGTCTTAAGAACTTAATTTAGCTTTTTAGTATCTTATATTTTATTTTGCTTTGTTATGTTCTTACATCTATTTCTATTATTTGCGATACACTGGTTGAGCAACCCCATAGTGACAGTAAAATCTCGTGCAACATGTTGAAAATATGATAGCTAGTAAACAGTAAAAATTTATTTTAAATAAATTTCACTTTGATAAATTAATATAAATACAATCTAATATTATGTTATATGAAAGATACACATGGTCATTTAATAAAAAAAAGTCATCGTTTGTTTATAATATAATATAATGATTAATATTGACAGTTGAGCATTACATATAATGACTGCTACAGAAACATACTTGATTTAATCGTGATCGTTCAATCTCATTTCATGTCTATCCTCATTCTACTTTTTTTCAAATAATTACAAAACATATATTAAATTTCTAAAATTTGAATCTTTACGAAACAATACATTCATGACAGGCTTTAAATTGACCTGCACTGGTTCTCTTCTTTTTCTTCCACCAAGACTGCGTTCCGATATTCAGTACTAGCACTGAAGATCTATAGTATACGTGACATAAACTATGTATTTTTAGTACTAGTAGGGAATATCGGAATGCAACTCAAAGGTTTGTTCTTTCCAGCTGAATATTCTGCATTAGTTCAATAGTGCTGCAATAGCGCCGTGACTTTTGTTAATTTACTGACTTTTAGAAATTTCAAAATCATCATATTAACAAAAATCAGGGCACTATTACAAAATTAGCGAGGTATCGTAAGTTAAATATTGAAAAAGTTATCAAATTTTCCTTAAATATCTAAAAAAATATTAGGCAAATAAAAAAATGTTTTAAACAAAAGTTGTTCAAATTAATTGATGGAAAAAGACAAATAGATTTTGATAGAACAATTTTTTACAGAGTTTCTAAACTATAGTAACATCTCATCAATGTTATAAGAGTTCGTCAGATCAACATCTTTGCCTTTTAAATATTCCTTTTTATCATTGGAATTTTTCGCATACAGTAAAACCTAATTTAGCGATGTAATTAACATTACTTACATTTATGAATATTAAGATTGAAAAATATTTTGAACAGCTTTCAAGTTCATTAAATTTCACTGTTACGACATTAAATTGACTAATATAGTCGGAAACGAATGATCACCAATAGATGGCTCTGGCGATGTTCTGATCTTTTCCGGTCCGTTCTTTTGCGGATGTTGACCTGAACGTAAGTTGTAGAATGGAATTTTGTTGTTACACCGATGTAATTCCGTGTCAGATTAGTATGAATTGAACGAACTAAGCGATCGATGACATCTAAGAATAAGTCGGAGATTATACAAGTACAAAGTATGAGCTGAATATTGTATTATTACTCATTCATGTTCAAGCACGGTACACGTGACTGCGTGGCCACATGTTTAGCCAGCTTCGTTGTCTCACGAATTCATTAAACTATTTTTGGATAATTTGACTAATTAAAATCTTGCTCCGCTTGCGATTCACTTGTCACGGCACGGAAACATATCGTAAGATATTAAAATTTTCCCTAACTGAAGTTTAGCATGATTTTGATATGTATGTTCGCAAACAAAGCTGTAGATGGTTCCAAAAATATAAATAATGTTTTTCTTGCAGTGCTTGTTAGTAGATGAATTATTGTATAGTTTATGAAATGTTTGTTCCTCTCATTATGTATTGATAAATTTATTCTCCTTTATTTTATATTGTAATAAATTGGATAGATTTTATATTGTTATAACTTGGTTCTATGCTGTTTTAGTATATGATATAATATAATAGTTATACTGAATTATATAATTTTGGAAGTTATTCATATGGCTTTATAATTGTAGTATAATTAGTATTTTAATTTAAAACCAATAATTTTTGAATATAAACAAGAAAATTGTTTTGGCTAGTTTCTTAATGTTTTGTGTTCTATTACAAATATTATCTATTACTTTTGTTCTCCAGTTAAACAATGGAAGACAAAGAAGGATTTGAAGATATGGTGGTGACAACCACCAATACCTTGCCAGTTACCATGACAGCTGAACTACCAGAAATCAAGTTGTTCGGACGTTGGAACTGTGATGATGTGCAAGTAAATGATATGTCCTTGCAAGACTACATCGCTGTCAAGGAAAAAAATGCTAAGTACCTTCCACATTCAGCTGGGCGTTACGCAGCAAAGCGTTTCCGAAAAGCTCAGTGCCCTATTGTGGAACGTCTGACCAATTCCCTTATGATGCATGGAAGAAACAATGGGAAAAAATTAATGGCTGTACGGATTGTGAAGCATGCTTTTGAAATCATTCATCTTCTTACTGGAGAGAATCCTTTACAAGTGAGCTTAATAGTTATTTTAAAAATATTTTTAACATTCTAGTTTATAAATCTATTAGTATATAGCAGTTACAAATTAGAGAATTTGAATTAATCTAATTTGAAAGCTTGTTGTGTTACATTTTTCTTTATTTTCCTTTGACTTCTAAGAAATTTATAATTTTGTAAATTTATATTTAACTATGTTTTAGTATGTATTTGATATTCTCTTGACTAAAATATTTGTGTTGCAGGTTCTTGTCACAGCCATCATAAACTCAGGTCCCAGAGAAGACTCCACACGTATTGGTCGTGCTGGTACAGTAAGGAGGCAAGCTGTGGATGTGTCTCCCTTACGTCGTGTTAACCAAGCTATTTGGTTGTTGTGCACAGGCGCGAGAGAAGCTGCGTTCCGTAATATCAAAACGATTGGTGAATGCTTAGCTGATGAACTTATCAATGCGGCTAAAGGTTCATCCAATTCATATGCGATTAAGAAGAAGGATGAGTTGGAACGCGTTGCCAAGTCCAACCGATAAATAAACTTTATATACAAAATTTTCAAATAAAGAAAGTTATTAATTTAATATTAGTCTTAAAAACTTTGATATTAGTTTTAAGGAAATATGAATAAATTTTATATCTTTAGATTATTTATTTTATTATATAGTAAAATATTTACCTGATATAGTACTTTTGTAAAGAAATATTTGCTGTCTAATGATATTGCTACCAATGAAGTAAAAACAAAGGTTGCTAATCTGACAAAATTGTCAAGTTATAATTCAAGTCATACTTAGGCTGTGTTTCAAAATTTACTGCTAATACTAAAAATACATAGTTTGTATCATGTATGTTATAGATTTTCAGCGTTGGCAGTGAATATTAGAACACAGCCATTATAACCGTGTATTTTACGAAAATATACTTCATTGTCGGTTTGCACAGACATAAGCCGGTATTCATAATCGGACCTTATGACCATTCTACAATAACTATTAGTTATAAAACATAAGAAAATAAACCAATCAGAATTCTTCATTTATAGATTGGAGAATTTTAATTGGTTTATTTTCTTATGTGTTATGACTAACAGCTTATTGTAGAATGGCCATTATATTTAAGACCGTGTTAAGAGTTGATCTTCAGATGCTGTATAAATGATTTCATTTCATTATCATTGGCTACGGGGATATCTGAAATTAGAGAGGAATCTGATAGCGGCCAACATGACGTTTTCGGCGACACCAACTTTCCGCACTGGGAAAGGGCGCCATCTACATTCATTTTGAGAGGGGAACTGCGATACTACATTCACTTTCAGGTCTCGGCGGTAAAACCTGCATGTGGTGGCAGTCCGTGCTACATCCACTTTCAGGCGGTTTATGTCCGTGCTACAACTATAATAGCGTACTTGACAAGTACGGTCTCGCATATTGTTATACGTTTGTAACATGTTAACATGCGCAAAAAAAAAAATAAGAATTTACATTGTGTATGATTAATATCATGAAGATCATACAAAATGTCCGGTAATTAGCTGCCAACCCGAAGTGTGAAGGTAGATTGGGTTGAAACAAACATAAAAGTCCCATACCGTTTTGCGAGATTCGCGATAATTATCGAGTTATTAATGACAGAAATCTGAGGAGTGGGAGTGCACCGACATAGGTGATTGGAGAAACGTTGCAGCTGCTCCGAGCAGTGATCATGAATCTTTTCCCTAACGTGAACCAGTGGAAAATAAAAGACTTCTGTCAGTTAGTGAAAAATGAAACATTTTATATGAATTTGTCAAATCAAAACATTTCACACGATAACTGAGTTGTCCAATATGGCAATAATTGAAGAACGATGACAATACCGACTGTTTTAACTACGATGAAAATAATGCGGACGTTTAAACCATACTGTATTTCGATTACTAATGCGATACAAATTACTAACGACATAGAAATATCGTATAAATCTATCGTTACTGTAATAAGTCTGTTGCGTTGCTTGAACGTTTCTCACCTCTTCTTACTTCCTTCAACATTCGAATATGCTTCTGTCTCGTTTTAGGTATAAAAAGTACGAAAAGTTGAAGCAACACGACAAACCTAACAAAAACTGCAAGAAATAAAGCATCAGTGCGCAATGTGACGTAATCAAAAGATTGCATAACAATATCACCAAGTAATTAAAATCTTTTTTAAAAGAGGTACGACAGTGTGCGCACTCGCACACCGAACCTCATCGCCGTCGGTTTCCCGAGTAACAAAGGCATCGTGTGGAAGCACAATAATGAACAGAGACTTCGCCGAACGAAGGACAACGTAGCGACGTCAGCAGTATACGTTGAGCAACTGCCGTTGTCCGGCAGAGATATCGGCCAAGTTGCTGATGATCTTGAAGCAGTTCTGTAAAGCCGCCATCCGTAAGCAGCCGTGTGATCTGTGTCAAGTGGTCCAGCTCTTTGTCGATGTTCTCTAGCATTGAGTTGTCATACCGAGTTCCTCTCACGTATTTGTATTTTCCTTCGGCAGCCGGTCTATCGACGGAACCGATGGAAAGCAGTTCGTTGAACAGGGAAGAGAAACTGGGCGCTTCGATCGGCAGGGATCGCGCGAATAAGAGTGCTACGAATGGCGGGAGGTTTTGCGGCACGAAGGACGCAAGCAACAGCGACGGGAGTGTCTTCTCCGGAACTGAGAATGACGCGAGAATCACGTGCCACCTGAATGTGCCCGTTAAGCGATCGGACATTTCCCGTCAAACGTACTCTTGGAGAGATCCATCAATTCAGAAAAAGTTGCTTTCACCATCAAACTCAAACAATGTCGTGTTGCAAGCGCGGTCACATGACCCATCGCCAACCCAAGCCCATGGACAAACTTGAGAACAATCAAGAACCCATCAAGCCAGATAAACCTTTTGTCCACCTGCCTGAGTAATGAAATCTTCTGGCCATATTTCTGCGCCTAACATGACATCGTCGTTGAAATATAAACATTTATCCGATATTCTAGGTATCCTGGAAGAATGAAAAGCATCGCTGCAATGCTCCGCATACATCGTTATGTGTAATATGTGTTTATTATATATACATGTATTTCCAAGCACCTATGAATATTACTTTCAATAGCAGGACTAGAAAAAGTTGGCAAATCAGTTTTATTTGGAAAGATATCTTCGTGAGTGACCAAAGTCACCCGTGGATTATCCATGTCCAACCAGCTCAGTATTTGACCATTAGTGACGATGTAAACGTGCCGTATCCAAGGCGCGTACATCTCCAACGAGCGCAACGAGTAGCGCAGCTAGCTCATCCTTGTCATTGAACCTCGAGACTGCGGTACTGAGATCCACGACAGGGACATGTCTCCGGAGACTCTCCAGGAACAGTGGATGTGAACCATTGACTCATATGTAAACCACGTCTATGGGGACGTGTTGGCACAATTTCTTTTGGAAGGAAACCCCCAGGATGTTGTCGTTGAAGGAGTCGTTGAAAGATCGCTTCGTACTTTTCCTTGCTTTATGTCAGCCACATCTGTGGGAAACAGAAACAGAACAGAGTCAATTTAGGCTTACCGGACGTCGCGTCCAAGTGAAGGTAAATATCGGCAACAGTATATATACTGTACATATAATCGTGGAGGTAAAGAGACCTTGATCGAGGGACTAACGCGTCCCAGGATACCGACCTTTGCGTCACGCGCAAAGAATGAACAAATAATCCGTGCAGCGACAGAAGCGTTATATTTTAATCTCTTCAAAGTGTATTATGCCGATAAATATGCAAGTGAACGCCAACAATATCACGAGCAAGGAGTACTTGTACGAGAGCAGACCGTAACACCGTCGCTGTATCAACTTCCATGTGTTCATTATATTGATACAGATATTCGATGCGATCAGCATCGCGTCACAAATCGACGGTGATGAGCACTAAAGAGAAATCTGAGAGCGGCTGATTACGCCGGGACGCTTTTTCTGCCGAATTCCGACGCGCCCCCGGAGAAAATGTGTGCACATTATATCCGTCCTGACGGTAATGGCAAAGCGTGCACAGTTCTTGCTCACTGCTACTTCCTTACAAGAGATAGTGGGTTAGACAAGCATTGACGATCAGTCGCTCTCCCTCTTTGTCGCACCACCGATGAGCGTACGCGTGATAGGAGGAGGCACGAGGCGAGGCAGCGGCAGATCTCATCGCTAAGTTAAAATCTCTTCCATCTTAACCCTTCGTCATCTCATCTTTCATGCAACATACTGCCCGCAATTCGGTAAGAAATATTTCGAGACCGCGCGGGAAACTTCTGGCAATGACACCAAATAACGCTAATAGGAGTGGCCATTTTTATAACTTTTACATTCAGTTTTATAATTTTCATATTCAGTTATGAACATACACATGCATATGCGTCGTAAATGTTAATATGCATTATACTTCAATTATTATTGATATTAAATAATTTTATTAACGCTAATAATTTAAACGATATCAGTAACTTGAGTTATCTTTCTTGCAAGGGAATTGACATATCCATCTGATTTCTAAAAAATTTCCTTGTATGAGACTTTTATGAGTCAGTGTGCAAAATTATATGATGGATTGTTGAATATTTGCAGAAGAAAAGTGAATAGTTTAATACATAGATATTATATTATAGACAAGTATAGGTACTGATATCGCCATCACCAAGAGAACGCAGAGGCCGCAAATAAATATTTCTTCCCGAAATGCGGGTAGTGCGTTGCGTGAAAGATGAGAAGGCGAAGGGCCAAAACGGGACAGATTTTGGCTTAGCGATAAGATCTGCCGCTGACTCGCCTCGTGCTACCTCCTGTCACGCGTACACTCATCGGTGGTGCAACAAAGAAAGAGAGTGACTGAACGTCTGCTCGTTTAACTCACTATCTCTTATAAGGAAACAAAGGTGAGTAAGAACCGTGCACGCTTTGCCATTCCCGTCAGGATGAATATATTGTGCACATATTTTCTCCGGGGGCGCGTCGGAAAAAGTATCCCAGCGTAACAACCCCGGTGGTCGTTTTCAGCTTTATCTTTGGTATTTTAATTTCCATATATATATTTGTAACATAATACATATACTATGACATACATACTATAATACTGAAGCCGATAGGCCGAAATCAATGCGAAAATGAAAGGTCACCGACTATAAGATAATTATATGTGATAAGACGTTAACCTGGATTCGAAATAAGGATGATGTAAGCAACTCGCATCGAGTTGTGATCGCACATTTTAAAGTTGAAAAACACAAAAATTTAAAAAGTGACGAGTCCAGAAATAACGAGCCATCAAATATTAATTAACAAAATATGAGTGATGAGGTTTTAATCTAGACCCAAAATAACAAAGATTCTCCTAAATTGCAACTACGTCTGCCTACGCGTTATAAAGAAATAGAAGCCGATAGGACAAAATCGGCCGGTGCGAAAATGACGAATCATCAGGTACAAACTACAAAATTATTTGCGATAAGATTTTAATCTTGGTTCAACATAAGGTTGATCCGAGCCAACC